GATAGTAGGTTGCAACAGAGGTGAGTAACAGCTGAGGGTCTATTAGGGAATATACCTATTCCATTTTAATAACGTTGCTTTCAAAACCAAATGTACCCAGAGGCCACTTCTGATTTTGGAAGAAAGTTTATTTTGGACCTAATACAGGGTTTGAAGGCTGTGTCCTCGCGCCAACCATGTTTGAGATCTTCTTTGCTGTCATGCTGAAGCAGGCCTTTGGAATTGCAACAGAAGGTGTCTATCTCTGGACTAGATCAGATGGAAAGCTCTTTGATCTCTCTAGATTGAGAGCAAAGACCAAAGTCTAACTGAAATGCATGCGGGACTTCCTGTTCACCAGTGATGCAGCCATTGTTGCCCACTCTGCTGAAGACCTCCAACAACACATGAATCATTTTAGCAAGGCCTGCCAAGACTTTGGACTAACAATCAGCCTGAAGAAAACACAAGTCATGGGCCAGGGTGTGGACTCACCTCCCTCTATTACTATCTCCACACAAGAATTGGAGGTTGTTCATGAGTTTGTGTACCTTGGCTCAACAATCTCTGACACTCTCTCCCTAGATGTCGAGCTGGATAAACGCATTGGGAAAGCAGCTACCATGTTCTCTAGACTCACAAAGAGAGTATGGCTCAATAAGAAACTGACAACACATACCAAGATCCAGGTCTATAGAGCCTGTGTCCTGAGCACACTCCTATACTGCAGCGAGTCCTGGACCCTCTGTGCACGGCAGGAGAGGAAGCTGAACACATTCCATATGTGTTGCCTCTGACGCATTTTTGGCATCACCTGGCAGGACAAAGTTCCAAATAGAGTAGTCCTAGAACAAGCTGGAATTTTTAGCATGTATACATTACTGAAACAGCGCCGTCTACGCTGGCTTGGGCATGTCGTGAGAATGGCTGATGGTCGGATTCCAAAAGATCTCCTGTATGGAGAATTAGTGCAGGGAAGCCGCCCCCGAGGGAGACCACAGCTGCGATACAAGGATATCTGCAAGCGGGATCTGAAGGCCTTAGGAATGGACCTCAACAGATGGGAAACCTTGACATCTGAGCATTCAGCCTGGAGGCAGGCGGTGCATCATGGCCTCTCCCAATTTGAAGAGACACTTGTACAGCAGGCCGAGGCAAAGAGGCAGTCCCGAAACCAGCAAAATCAGGGAGCTGGACAGGGGACAGATTGTATTTGTCTTCATTGTGGAAGTGATGGTCACTCTCGAATTGGCCTTCTCAGCTACACTAGACGCTGTTCCAAGACCTCCATACAGAGCACATTACCATAGTCTCTCGAGACTGAAGGATGCCTACACAGGGTTTGAAAGGGAGAACAAAAGTAGCCTTCAATTTGCAAATCACAGCTTCTGTAGGTTTCTGGGCAAGAGTTGGCATACTGGATGGGGCTCAAAGGACATTGTGCAGCTCACAGAGTGCACAATTACCACCTTTGGCTTGCAGTTCTTCTTCAAAGGCTATATTATGTAAGTTCTCCTCCCCCTCCCTAAGAAAAGTTAAAGTGGTGGGGATGAGAAATAAGGGATGAGGGCTTTTGGTGCAACCCCTTGTCTATTGTCCAGTGAGTAGTAAACACATTTCTGTTCGGGGGTTTAAACAAGGGACAGGTGCTTTTATTTTTTTGATGCTTTTGATACTCCTTGCTGAGTCTTCATTAGTGTTAAAATTGTTTTGATATATTTCTGCATGCTTCCTTGAAGACCTTATGGCCAAAAGGCAGTTTACAGATGTTAGAATAAACAAATAAAATTGATAGAATGGAAGATTTTGGGTTGAATGCTGAATAACTGTGGTAAAGAATGAAATTTTAATAACAACCCAGTCAGGCATGTTTTTTGTTATTTTTTAATGGCTAGTGCAACAGAAGATGCTGTATTGAAGCTATATAGTCCTGGAAACTGCTGAGATCTAATGCCTTATTTTGAATAGGCGCCAAATGGCTGTCATGACAACTTTCAATGTTTTTAGTTGAGGCCAACAGTAAAACTAATTGGACACTGGAAACAAAAACTAGGTCCTTTGCTTGCCATATAATATTATGAGACATAACAGTTTGCAGCAGTCATTTTAATTACAGTGTTTTTTTAAAGCAATGGGCTTTGAAGTTCCACTGCCAACAGAAACAATCTTGAGTAATGGCTTTCTTTTAAAGTGTTGTAATAATGACAATATTAGTAAGGAAGAAATATGAAGTTGTGCAATTTTAAATAAAACCAATTCTCTGTTTCTTCATCTTTTAAATTGAGCAGCATTTGGTCAAACCGGTCAGCACGAAAAAAAGATATGATAAATATGCATGTATGCGTTAAAGCTTTTCAGGTGTGTACATTGCTGGATTCTTAATATATGATATAAATTACATACGCACACGCGTGTGCGCGCGCACACACACACACACACACACAAAGAGAGAGAGAGAGAGATTAATGTCCTTGGTCTTGTTTGAGAATGAGGAAACTGGTTTGCATAAAGAAAAAGCATGCTCAGGGAGGTTTTTGACTTAACTTTGAAGAAAAGATTCGTTCTGGTTTGAGACATTTTTGATTGTCCCCTCGTCATTCTGATCTATGCATGTTTTGTCACAAGTAAGCTACAGTACCATGTAAGTAGGTGTAGGGTGGCTGTTTGGAATGAAGATGGGGATATTAGTAGAAAATGATCACTTGTTTAGTTAAATGTTAGTGAACTCAAAACTCTAGTTCAGTTAATTTTAAATCAGAGAGGAAAAACATTTAACAATTACAACACAATCCTTTAAGCTGATGTCATATTGCCCCAGGTTTAGATTAACATAAAATCCCAGATCAGAACTCTGGCTTCTGGCTCACATTGAGAGGCTTCTTGTATACAGTAGCCTTTTCTTCATCAGACTGTTGTTTTCTCATGATAAAATGAGAGCAGAGCAAAGTGGGGCTAGTGTGCTCTCATCGGCATGTGCGGTTTCCATGTGCTTACCAAATGACTGAACAAGGCACCTTAGACACCTTACTTACATGGGAGTAAACCCTACTGAACCTACCTGTGCAGCCTTTGTCCTTGACATCGGCTAAATCCGGCAGTCATATGATGGGTTGCAAGCCTGATTTCATAACCAGTGCATGAGTAGGAGAGTATGCAGGAGGAGAGGATCTGCTACATGACTGCATTATATAAACAAATTAGAGTCTGAGCAGTGGGACTTAATTATGAGTGGATGTGTGGACACCACTTAGTGAAGCTCCATATGGCTTTTTTTTTTTGATGGAAACCTGTGGGTTTCGGCTATGCCAAGTAGAAGCCATTCTTCACGACTGAGGCAACTCAGTTCCTCTTGTGATTATATTGAAGGAGAGTGGGACTTGTAGTCACTGAGGATGAGAGAAAATGGAGTCTGTTATGTTTCAAAGTGAAAGGAGTTGAAGACATGGGAATGTGGTAAAGGCTGAGAGGCTGTTTTTCCTAATTTACAGCCAGGCTGGTACAGAGTGAATCCTGATAAGAGTGTAAGGTCGAAGAGGCCCAGTGCGAAGACCCAACAAATTCCCATCTAATTAGAATGGAGACAACACACCTGCGTCTCCATGAGAATTGGGAGTGGAGTGGGCAGTTACACCTCTTTGGGTTAATTGGTTTACAGCCATGAAGAAGGAGGTCTGAGGAATGTAGAAAAATGGATGATGGGTTATGTTTGGGGGAACTTTTTTCCTAAGAGAAGTTCATGATGGATTGTGTTATGCAGCTGAATGGTACAGAATGTAGCATGGTAAGAAAGAAGGAGCTGGGGTTAACCCATCTTAGTTCAGCTTTGTAGTGTTTCTTATGTTAATGGTAAGTAGTTGTTGTATTTAACTGTGGTAATCATTTGAACATGTCTTTATGCTAAGCTTAAGCAAACAAACTGTTTCCATGAAATTATATTTTCTTAATAAAAAATAATTATAAAAATCCTAACTGAGGACTAGTCTCTTGGACCAACAAGGTTTGGCTAAATCCAGAAGTGTGGAAAAGGTCATTGATTAGCTACCATAGAGAAGTCCTATTTAAAAGAGCTGTTGTCAGTTCTAAGGAATCACAAAGCCCACAAAGTACTTGTAAGGTACTGAGTAAAGTAAAATGTTCTTTAAGGATCAGGCTTGTTCAAGGCACATACACTATGCACTGCTGAGGCCTGAGGACTTACCTCAGTACCAAATGGTAGATTTGTGGCCTGTGGAACTCCCTGCCTGAATGCCATACACTCCTTAGGGAGACTTGAGCATCACACCTCTGTGTTTAAAATACAAGAGAAACACACACACAAACACACATGACTGTTAATAAAGAACCTTTAAGTAGTCCAGACCTCTCTGAAGTCCTTGTCTTCTGTGTTAGATAATTAAAAACCCCAGATAAATGAGCACAATCACCCCCTCTTTGTTTTATACTTAGGGTCTGTTTCGCATATTCTAGATTAGAACACAGTCACAAAACTGCATCATGACCTAATATTCATCCTCAGAGCTAAAAGTAATTTTGAATGAAGTTCTCAAGCATACCCTTTTACCATATAATTCCTGGCTTAGTGCTTAAATATTTCACACTAGTCCCAAAGCATTCTGATAAAAACATGGTGTAGATCAAGTTAGTTACATTTAAAAATTGATTTAACTGTGTTTCCCCCCTTTTTAAAACAAAATAAGTAGCAGTTCCCACTAATGGTGTTAAATTTATACATTATACGTTATCTAGAATTGCATTTTTTAAAGCCCCAAACCCAGCTAGGCTTTCAGAACTGGTTGTGTAGTTCTTTGGATTGGTGTGTTTATGGTGATACAACAAACTCTGTGAAACTGAATAATCTAATGTAGCTTTACCAAGTCTGGTTTGCAAAAGCCATATGGTTTGTGGCACTGCTAGTATTTTTAATATGAACTTCTGATTATGTTAATCTCTTAGCAATTACAGCAGCCCGTTATTTTTGTTTTATATTTTCTCTTAACAAGTCCCTTTTTCTTGTCATGCAGGTGAACATTCAACCATCAGAGTGGCACCATTCTCTGCTGCTTCCTCAGTCCTGGGCAGGATTTATGGAGAGAACATACCACGCTATTTTGCAAGTATGAGCAGTTTGCTCTGTATGTCAGTCCATGAGATGGGTTTGTGTTTTTGTTACTTGGTCTGAATTTTCAGGAGTAATCTTTTCTTGACAGCTCAGCAGCTGCCAACTAATGAATTGTGATGTAGAGTAAGAGTTGGGTTGGAGTGAGAAACTAAGTTGCACTTTGGTCCCATTGATCCCAGTGCTCTGTTTTGAAGGGGTGGACAATGTTTTGGAGCAGATTTGGGTGGTATGAGGGTTGAGGGAAGAGGAGTGGGGGAGATGGAAGTCCAACTTGCATGCCTTCAAATGGAACCCAGTGGCTAAAATCTTGTATCAAGTCAGAGTAGAGCCATTGGATCAATGGGAATTTGGTGAGTCAGCTATTTAATTCAGTGTGCCTATTCTAGTTGTGACTCAGTGCTGGATTTCAGCCTATGTCTTGAATTAACCTATACAGGTATATAGGAATAATTATGTAGAACTTCATAGGATCCGACTTTATCCACAACTTTTATAAAGCTATTGAGTCATTGTAAAGGGAAACAATACTTTATAATTGAAAATATGGCACAGTTGTGTCTAGAAGGAGACCAGCTGAAGCCCTACCACCAGCAAGTTCAAAAAATAACTTTTTATCCCCTTTCCCATTATTTAACTAAGTTACAATTGAACACAAATAAACAAAGCGTAGAAGCAAATATTTAAATTCTTTTAAAGTTAAATTCTTTTAAAATCAGTCTTTAATGGAAGGCTACAGAAGCACAATGTGAACTGGACACACATTCTCCCATTCACAAGACTATCTGAGTTTCATTCACCAAGGATAAAAATTGCCAATGTGAACTCAACCTAAAGCTTTGACTATAATAAAAGCTTGCCAATAGAAAGCATTTTGTAATTGTAAGAGTCCATTTTAGTGTCACATGGTGTTGGTAAACATTCTACTTTAGCATGATGAATGACCTGTGTGCTTATATGGTATATACTTACTCTCATATATTTTTCCGTAACAACTTAATAATTGTTCTAAGTTGCAGAACCTCACTCAGAGTAATTCTAAGAAGTTGTCTTTCATAGAATCATAGAATAATGGAGTTAGGAAGGGCCTATAAGGCCTTCACGCCCAATCTCCTGCTCAATGTAGGAATCCAATTTAAAGTACTGTATATCTGACAAATGATTGTCTTAGTTTCTCTTGAATGCCCACAGCATTGGAGTGCTCACTACCTCCCAAAATAATTGGTTCCACTGTTGTACTGCTGTAACATTTGGGAAGTTTTTCCTGATATTCAACCAAAATTGGCTTCCTGTAACTTGAGCCCAGTTTTACATGTCCTGCATTCTGGGATCAGGATCATTGAGAACAGGTCCTTCTCTTCCTCTGTATGGCAATCTTTAAAGTATTTGGAGTGCTACCATATCTCCCCTCTGTCTTCTTTTCTCAAGACCAAGCATACTCAGTTCTTCCAGCCTTTCTGCAGAGGGCTTGGATTTCAGTTCCCTGGTCATCCTTGTGTGAGGGTTCGACTTTAGGCTCCAAATTCAATTCAAAAAAATCAGCAGATCTGTGTTGTTTCAAAACAGGTGTGGGATTTATTGGAGGATTAAACAATGAACAAGTGTCTGGAACATGATTATGAGTCCTTTGTCCTTCTGACAACTGGTCCGGAAGGGGCTTCCATTCATCAAACAAGAACGGGTTTCTATAACTGCTGTCCCATGGTCCCTGGAGATCAGTTGAGACCCAGTCCTTTACTGCTTGCCTCTTCGCGCCTTCCAGCAAGGGCACGGTCTCCTCATCCAGATCGTCATCCCACAAGATCCATCCATTGGGGTCTCGATTCTCCCAGGGTCTTTCCTGTAGCTCCTTCTCTTCATCTCTCTCACTCTCCATTCCAACCTTTCTCTCCACTTGCTTCTTTTCCTCTCTCAATTTCCTTCTCCATCGCCTCTGTTTCCCCCCAATAAGAGGGTTTAGGGGGAATCTCTATTCTTTTCCTATAATCTGCCTCCTCTTTGGCACTCTCAATCTCTCCCATAATCCATTCCAAGGATCCTGCATCCACACCCATTCCCAACCGGGCAGTAACTGGTCTTCCTTCCTCTCTACTTCCCCCGTCCCTGCTTCAAACTCAGCCCCCCTTTTACTCTCTCTTCCTGCCTTTTCTTTGTGAATTTCCCCTATTGTCACTTTCTATATGTCTTCTGTCAGCTCCTCTATCACTGTCTCCTGTGGAGGTTCCACTGAAGGTTCGAGTACGGGTTTGGAGTCCACTTCCTTATCTCTGTTGTTAAGGAGGGACGGCTCTCCAGCGACTGGGGTATCCCTCTCGCCCTCTGTCTCACACCTTGTTGCTGTCCTTTGAACTTGTTTCAGTATGTCACATACTTCTTAAAGTGCAGTTTCCAGAACTGAACACAGTACTTAACATGAGGCCTAACCAGTGCTGAATAAAGGGGAACTAGGACTTGGATTTGGAGACTATACTTTTTAAAATGCAGCCTAAAATAGCATTTGCCTTTTTCGCACCCACATTGCATTGTTGGCACATATTCAGTTGTGATCTACAACAATTCCAAGATCTTTCTCTTTTTCCATCTTTGGTTTAGAATCTTCCTTCTATACTTTAGTAATGCAATATACAAATATCATGATGGCCACAATTCTATTGCATGATCAGGCGTTCATCCAGAAAACCAGCCAGCATATTGTTAATGATATTAGCAATTTACTACCAAGACTTAGGTGACTTCCCTTACCTAAGCATGAATCACCATAGGATTCTGGCTAATGATTTTCAGTGAAATCAATTTAATTAATTGATTAATTGATTGATTAATTAATTGATTAATTGATTAATATACCGTCCCTCTAGAACATTCTACTCTGGGCGGTTTACACATAATATAAAAAGTAAACTATGAAAGTATAAATGTATTAAGAATAAGACCCAAATTAACATAGGTAAACAGTGAGAAGAGAGAAATGTATAACAATTTGTTATTTAGCAATGTAGTCATGTTTCGTTTTCCCAATGCCCCCAGTTTCAGTATTCAAGCTTGTGTGTCTATAGAAATATCCAAATGCCCAGGGGTTTTAAGTCCTTATTCTTGTTATATCAATGAACAGGAGTTAATAGGGTTAATGTTTTTTTCTAGGCCTTTAACATGGATGCATCTGCAAATGTAAAAATTCAGATTCTATCACTTAGCACATAGTTCTTCTTTATGGTCTCTGTGAATGTACACTAATGGGTCTTGGGTTAATCTGCACCTGTGTAGAGGAGCCTCAGAACGTTCCAGAGCTCGAGCACATGGTGGCAGGACCTCCCACATGCTGCCCTTAACCCCACCCCTGGCACCGAGTGCCTCAGTTCCTTTCTTACCGCCGCTGCAGCAGTATTTGGAGCCGTCAGTTGTTCATGACTTTGTGTACCTTGGCTCTACAATCTCTGACACCCTCTCCCTGGATGTCGAGCTGGATAAACGCATTGGCAAAGCAGCTGCCATGTTCTCTAGACTCACGAAGAGAGTATGGCTCAATAAGAAGCTGACGACACATACCAAGATCCAGGTCTATAGAGCCTGTGTCCTGAGCACACTCCTGTACTGCAGTGAGTCCTGGACCCTTTGTGCACGTCAGGAGAGGAAGCTGAACACCTTCCATATGCGTTGCCTCCAACGGATTTTTGGCATCACCTGGCAGGACAAAGTTCCAAACAGAGTAGTCCTAGAACGAGCTGGAATATTTAGCATGTATACATTACTGAAACAGCGACGTCTACGTTGGCTTGGGCACGTCGTGAGAATGGCTGATGGTCGGATTCCAAAGGATCTCCTGTATGGAGAATTAGTGCAGGGAAATCGCCCCAGAGGGAGACCACGGCTGCGATACAAGGATATCTGCAAGCGGGATCTGAAGGCCTTAGGAATAGACCTCAACAGATGGGAAACCCTGACATCTGACCGTTGAGCCTGGAAGCAGGCAGTGCTTCACGGCCTCTCCCAATTTGAAGAGACCCTTGTCCAGCAGGCCGAGGCAAAGAGGAAGTCACAAAAGCAGCAAAACCAGGGAGCTGGACACGGGACAGATTGGATTTGTCTTCAGTGTGGAAGAGATTGCCACTCTCGCATTGGCCTCTTCAGCCACACTAGACGCTGTTCCAAGTCCTCCATACAGAGCACGACACCATAGTCTTTCGAGACTGAAGGATGCCTAACAGTGGACCCTGAACCACCTCGGCGTTGACCGGCCTGTGAGCCCAACTACTCTGCTTGAGACTTTGATGGGAGGTGATCCTACAATCACCGGTTTTATCTTGAGCCCGACTGGTGTGTCTATTCGAGGCTATACAAAAATGATCCCTATTATCACTACTGGTGGCATTACGCATACTATGCTCGTTATTCACCATCGTTGTCACCCTCTCCTCCATGGTATTGGTGGATGAGTGACCTCTTTCCTGAGCCTGAGGGAGACTTATATCCCCCTTTTTCCCCTCGAGCCCATAAGAGACCTCCTTTGAAGGCAAAGCGGCCTTGACGCCTGGTATCAGGCCCGGAGGGCGCTTTGAAGTCAGAGTCACTGGTGGTCTGCTCTCTCGCTTGGCAGACATTTGGCAATGGGAATACGCAAGATGCGTGTATCGTCACCGGGGCACATCTTCCGATACCGGCTCAGGAGGAGTACTCTCCCTCTCTTGATCTGGCTCCCTTTGATTCAGATTCGGCAGAACCGTCAGATATTGTTGAGGACTCCCCTCCAAATGTCCCTATGCCTGGTTCACACACTCCTTGACATCTGAGACTATACCTTCTACACACAGCTTATCCTTCGAATTGTGAAGGTGCTGGACTTAGCAGTGGAGCAGCTGACTCAATGCAGGATCAATAAGGTGTATGAACACATTGCCCAAGACCAGACTCCTCCTCTAAGGCTCAGTTTCATCCCCTCTCTCTGAGATCTGATGAGAGAATATTGGACAAAGCCCTCCTTTTCTCACCAAATTCTGAGGAGGGTAGAAAATCTTTACAAGATGTACAAGGAGAATGCGGATTTTCTTCTGAAACATCCTCTCCCGAATTCATTTGTTGTGGATGTGACACAGAATAGGGCTCAAAATCAGTTGGCTTCTAATAACAAGGAAGCTAGAAAGTTGGATGTGATTGGCCGGCATATGTACTCTCTTGCCTTGTTTGTTTTAAGAGTGGCCAGTTAATCAGCTGCCATGGGGGCCTATCACCGCTGCCTCTGGTACCCGTTTTTGCCTATTTTGCGGGCTGCCACAGAGGATGTTCATGCCCAGGGCTGATCTTACCATCAGGAGGCGACGGGGTTAGCCCACCAGTAACATATTGTAGCCAGGCACATTCTGGATGCTGCATCCAAGCAATTGGTCATGGCTATAACTCTGTGCCGCCACGCCTGGCTTCACTCAGCAGGTATCTCAGATGATGCAAAGGTTCGTATTGAGGACCTCCCTTTCAACAGTGTAGGTCTCTCTGACAAAAAGATGGATGAGATTCTTGATAATCTTCTAAAGCTGAGGAAGACAGCTGAATCTTATTCCTGACAGTATTGCCTCAGGGGCTCATAGCGCTGACAATATCCATTGAGATCTTTTCCTGACTACCAGAGGCCTTTGGGTGCCGGTCCTTCTTCTGCCTCGTTTAGGCAGTCTAACAGGCAACAGGCCCATCGCTCAGATTGGAAGGCCAGCCAGAATGTTTGACATCACCCAGCTACCAGCAGTCATAGACCCCTCCATCCATCTTTCACCGTTCCTGCACACTTGGCACACTATCACATCAGACTCATGGGACCTTTCCATCATAGCCATAGGCTATAAATTCGAGTTTGACACTCTTCTTGTCACGGGATTCCTCAAAACTACAGACTCCTCTCCTCCTTCGGAAGAAGAAATTCAGTCTTTACTTCAGAAAGATGCTATTGTCCACCTTGATCATCCAGATGTTGCATGCGGGTTTTATTCACGTTACTTCACTATTCCAAAGAAGGACGGGGGTCTTCATTCCATCCTCGATCTCCATCATTTGAACTTGTACATCACTCCCCGGCGTTTTCGCATGGTCCCTTTGGACTCCACCATTCAGATGCTTCGGCAGGGCAACTGGTTTACAATAATAGATCTAAAGGACACCTATTTTCATGTCAGCATCCGTTCTGACCACTGCCGGTTTCTCTGAATTTCAGTGAAAGGAATGACCTACAAATCCAAAGCCCTCCCTTTCAGATTGTCCAAGGCCCCACGGGTGTTCACCAAGTGCCTAGCCCCAGTGGCAGCTCATCTTCGTCTCCAGGGTGTCACAGTGTTCTTGTACGTGGATGACTGGATGCTGGTGGTGCCATTCTTTGCCCAGGCCAAGTGAGATACCACACTGACTCTGTCTCTCTTGGAGGCCCTGGGCCTCTGGATCAACACAGAAAAGTCCATGCTGAAGCCCACTCAGTGAGTGACTTATATTGGAGGAATACTAGGTCCTCGTACAGGTCTGATGGCATGTTCAACAGCCATTGTTCAGCATGCCAGTTTAAAGATGAGGTCCCTTCAGGCCTGGTACCTCTCCCTCTTCAATGTGGTGTTCACTCCCCCAACCAAACTTCTGCAGGTGACAGCAGAGCTGGCCTCCCAGCTGTCGTGATGGAGTTGCTCGCCCAACCTTGTGGTAGGCAGATCCTTTGGCCCACTGTCCCCTTCTGTCCAGTTGACCACCAGTGCCAGTCTATCAGGTTGGGGTGCTCCCCTGGGTGTGCTAACGATCAACAGCCTCTGGTCCGAGGCTGAGGCAAGACTTCACATCAACCACCTTGAACTCCTAGCAATAATCAAGACCTTTCGGGCATTTGAAAAGCTCCTGTTGGGGAAAGTTGTTCAGATTGCATCAGACAACACGACAGCGGTGTTCTACATCAGCAAGCGGGGGGGGTACCGACTCGCTTTCCCCACTCTACCTCACTGTCGACCTGTGAGAATGGTGTTACACTCTCCACATCTACCCTGTGGCATTCCATGTGGCGGCTGGAGGGAATGTTTTGGTGGACTACTTGAGCAGATTCCAAGCCTCATCTCACAAATGGACACTGGAAGACACCATCTTCCATCGCCTATGTTGTCGCTGGGGCACCCCGCGGTGGACATCTTTGCTTCGCAGGACAAAAGCAAATGCAGTGCTTATTGCTCCTGGGCAGGAGTAGGTCAGCATTCTCGAGGGTATGCCTCTTCATGACCAGTTGGTCAAAGGATCTTCTCTATATGTTCCCACCAATCCCGTTGGTATAGAAGACCGTAGTCAAAATCTGGGAGGACAACACGGATATCAACCTTTTCGCCCCTTGGTGGCTTCACCAGCCTTGGTTCTCCACAAAAGAGTGACAGACTACATCTGTTTACCACAATTTCCCCACATTGCCCCTTGAGGGTCTTGCCAGCCTTGGTTCTCTGCTCTCTGTGAAAGAGTGATAGACTACATCCGCTTACCACCAGTTCCCCACCTGTTGACTCAGTTTCAAGGCAAGATCTTTCATTTGGACTTGGTCTCCCTTCACCTCACGGCGTGGAGGCTTCCCCCTCGATAGCCGAGGTGCTTAGACATGCGCATAAGTGCTCCACTACTCTGGCATATTTTTACAAGTGGAATATGTTTTGCAGGTTTGCATCTTCCCTCCACTTACCTACGAGCCTGACTTGCTTTGACACAGTCCTTCACTTCCTGCTTCACTTGTTTCACCGTGGCTTGTCACACTCTACTGCGAAGGTATATATGGCTGCCATAGTGGCTCACCATCCACACTCTTCGGATGCAGTGTCCCTGTTTCACCACCCTACACTGAAACAGTTATTGCGGAGGCTAAAGAATATGTACCCAAGCATACAAGCCCCCCACTCCACAGTGGCCCCTCCAGCTGGTCCTGAATCACCTCATGAGGTCTCCCTTAGCCATTGGCCTTGGCGTCAGACCGACTCTTGACCTTAAAGACCACCTTCCTTCTTGCTGTCACGTCGGCACGCCGGACCGGGGAGTTGGTGGCTTTGAGAATGGACCCTCCTTTCCTCCAGTTCCATCTGGACAAAGTAACTTTGTACCCTGACCTCTCTTTCCTTCCCAGGTTTCATCTTATATTCCTCTAAAATAGTTAATTGTGCTGCCCACTTTTTTTCCAGCACCTTCCTTACTTCTGGAACAAGTTTTGCATTCCCTGGACATTAAACAGGCTCTCTCCTATTATGTTGCTCTCACTGCACCTTTCTGCACCTCAAAAAGGCTCTTTGTAGCCTTCCAAGGTACTTCTAAGGGTGCACCAGTTGGCTCTCAGACCATCTCCAGGTGGATTGTTTCTGCCATATGCCTCGTGTACGAGCTGGCCCAGTTACCACTACCAGAAACAGTTAAAACCCATTCGATGAGAGCCATGGCCTCTTTGACACCATTCCTCAGAAGGGTGGACCTCGCTGATATCTGTAGAGCCTGCCACCTGGGCCATGCCATCGACCTTCGCATACCACTACCAGCTAAATGTCCATGCCAAGGCTGAGGCTGCAGTGAGTCATGCTATCCTGGCTTCTGTGCCCTTGTGACGTCCCTCCTCCGGGTAAGTCAGCTTGCTAGTCACCCATTAATGTGTATTCACAGAGACCGCAAAGAAGAAAAAGAGGTTACCTACCTGTAACTCTGCATCTTTGAGTGTTGATCTGTGAATTCACACTCCCCCCCCCGCTGTCCATCACATGAGCCTTTCGTATGCTGTGCAGTGGCAGATAGTTCTACAGAACTCAGGCCCTCGGTGCTGGGGGCGGGGTTAAGGGCAGCATGTGGGAGGTCTTGCCACCATGTGCTTGAGCTCTGGAAAGTTCCGAGGCTGCTCTGCACAAGCGCAGATTAACCCAAGACCCATTAGTGTGCATTCACAGAGACCACTCGAAAAACCAGAGTTACAGGTTGGTAACCTTTTTATTATCCATGAAGTGTCCATAAAGGGCAATTTGATTAGATTATAGAGTGTACTTTAGGGGAGACGTTACATCTGTTACACAAGTGTTCCCCATGGAAATATCTGGATTGCTAACCATGTAATGTCTCTTGTGATTTATGTTGTGATTATACAGGGAAGACAAGCTGAGTTGGAGATGCAACTGAAGCATGGAAAAGAGGGGCCTGAAGAAGTGCAGTACAAACAGTTTACAGCCTGGCTCTGGTGAGAGAATGATGTCTGTTCCTTGTCACACGAAATGGCGGTGGGGAAGTGAGGAAGAGACCAAAGAGGATTCCAAGTCACAAATCTCACAGACTGTATAGGTGTTAACAATGAGAAACAGAAAGGATCTTCAGGTTAAAGGGAAACTGCAAAGACCAAATATTATAAACAAGAATGGCTTTATATGCCTCTAGCTCTTCTTGATATAATGGCTAGAAATTTGTAGTAATGGGAATGGCAGCACATAGTTGCTTTCCTTTAGTATAGTCATTTCTTCCAGAGTGCTCAGCAAAGCAATAGAGCTGGAGAAGGCACTTTGCATTTCAATCTGGTTTGGATAAGATGCTCATGTCCAAGGAATTCCTATAAGGAAGTGCTCAGTATATTGGGGGGTGGGGGTGGGGGGTCTATTGATTATCAGAGATATGGCTATCCTGTTCTTGGGTGTGCAGTATGACATACATGCATACAGATATCAATTTGATGAATACTTTCAAGCTACACAAGGGCTTCTGAATGCCCAGTAAGGCTTTATGCATTTTTTTCATTGACATAACCAAGGCAATGTGTAGCCTGCCTAATTAACTTGTAAACAGCCCAGAGAGTGCTTTAAGCGCTATGGGGCAGTATATAAGCAGCACGCTTTGCTATGGCACAAACCTCAGAGCTAACCCTTCTTCTTCTTTTCTTTTACCAGGGTCAGAGATATGTTGACTGATGTAATCAAGGGTGCTTCAAAGTAAGATATTTGTTTCTTAACACACACAAATATCATTGCATACATTTTGTGAAATGTTGTTTAGTTAATGGGGAGTAGTAGGCAGTCTGCATGGGTTTGGCCCACTGCAAGATATTGGAACGGTGAATGCCACTCAAAGGGAAAAACTTCCAAGGATTGGTCTGGTTAGTGTTTCTCCTCCCCCCCCCGCCCCCGTTTCTACTCCTTCTTGAGCTGAAGCTGAGTCAAATAAAAGAAGTCGTCTACTCCTTAAAAATGATTGTATTCAACCCCCTTGAAAAACTTTTCCTTAGAAACCATTATTTGATTTGGGTCAAGATTCTGCTTTTGCATCAGCTGGTATTCAAGAGTTCAAAACTCGATGAAATATGATGAATGATTTCAAAAAATGATTTTTCATGTACAATTGGATTCCCATAATATCACGAGCCCTATCAATGCATCTATAATGGGGTTAAAGAGCATGCATGCCAGCCTTGCTCCTTCCACCATTGCTGATGTTAGCAATGAGTGGCAGTCTGACAAGAAGGGCCCTTACTATGCCTTGCTGTCCATAGGATCAAGAACCTTAGTTTTTATAGCTTGTTTACATATAAGGCTTCGGAATCCTGCGGAGAGCCTCTGTGTATAGTGGAAACTTAGACTATCAATTTCCATATGAAGTGAGAGGCAACAGAAGCAATGGGAGTTAGTACTTTTTGTCAAGTATTTAGTTGGGGTGCGCTGAGCAAAGCAGGGGTGCAACCAGTCTCCAAGGTCCTTGCACAGAAGAAAACACGAGAAAACAGCTTCTTCCTTAAAGCTTATATTAGATATGTACAGTGTTCACAAAATGCTCCAGCAGTATGTCCTCTAGCAAATCTCCAAACTCTCCACATCACATGTGTGTACCTCTGTACAATATATAGTACACATGACCAATCAGGTAACATTACCACATCTTAGGCGATCTCATAATGATTACATCAGCCATCTGCCTAGTCAGCATGACTCAGCTTTATGCACAGCTGCACAATATGGCTGATTAACTTTATACATTCAGTCTAAGATGTCAACTTCTTCTATTACAATCCTTGTAATTTCCTGACACGTTTCCTGTTATGTATGCAGTTTAACTCTATTATGAATACTTGAATCACATGTGCAGAACAAGTATGACTAAATCATAAATCACAGCTCCACATTTAGGAAAAAAGTCTGAAAACAGACTTTTCCCATTTATTTTGGCACCTTTCAATAGGGAACTGTTTCTTTGGTTCTGCTGGATTGTCAGAGTCAATTGAAGCATAGCAACCTTCCTATAATTACCATACACTTGAATGGAGCTCTGAATTGAGGCCTTGAGGAAGGAGAGAAGGGATTTCAACTCTTTGTTCCCATTGTTCACACTGTCTTTACCTGCTTCCCATTTCCTGATTACAAACAGTGGGTGCAGGAGTCTTGATCTGAAGCAAGTTCATAATGGGAAGGGAAAAAAATAAAATCCTTCCTCTGGTAGACCAAGTAAGATTCCTGTGTCTTCTGCTTATACACATCCACCCATATCCAGTAGTTTTTATCTCTCTCTGTGTGTGTGTGTGTGTGTGTGTGTCTGTGTATTGGCATCAACATTTACATAATTGCTAAATGTATTGCAGCAATTGCTAATTGTATGAATGCTGTTATTTGCTTCAGATGTCTTCAGGCATATCTTCAGAATCTTAAATGCAATAAAGATTAAAAAATTTTTTTAAAAGAATCTGCGGAACAGGACACAGATATTAGCCCACTGAGAGTGAGAACCATGAGTCATTCCTTTGTAATGATTTGCCTTTTTTTGGCATCGTTATTTTAATCAGATATTCATGATGGCACCAAAAGCGGACATAGACTACTTGTGAGAAAAGCAGAAGAGAAGTGAAAACAAACAAACCCAGAAGTATAGTAGCACCTTGGAGGCTAATAACTTTATTTCATTGTGAGTTGTGGTGGCTTAGAATTCACTTCTCCTGACACATCAGAGTTGATTTATTTGGAAATATGGAATGTAATCTGTGAAATCTTACATTGAAATAAAGCTTTTAGTTCTAAAAGTGCCGCTATTGTTATATTGTTTTTGTTGAAACTGACCAACACATCTGCATATCTGGAAACCATCTGTGGCGATCGCCCACATCACTCATGGCATTCATATTCATGAGATTATTTGCATGAACCTATGAGAGGACTGGAGACATGGAGTCAGCAACTACATGAGGCTTGGCGGGAGAAGGAGGAGTCAGATAGGGTTGGTTAGTCAGAGAGAGAGGGGACAGATACTGAGAGAAATAGAGCTGGTTAGGAGAATAGGTAGAGAAGGTGGTGATGATACAGCAAGAGAAAAGAAGTATGTACGGAGAGAACTATTGATGAATTGCTTATGTATAACGTATATCTGAAGAACCTGTGTTATTATCCAGTCTGCTTCACTCCAATAAATAAGTTCTGTTTCTGTTCACAAGACAAGTGTTCTGACAAATGTCGTTTATATTGTGGATTGTGGTAATCCACTGGTGGCAGTGAGAAGAAAATGTGATGTGAGCCTTTGTGAGGGAAAGACAAGCAGGGGCCACAAGGGCAAATGCCACACCACCTATGACACGATCCCTGTTTAACTGGCATTGTGTTAGGAACACACTCCTTTCCCCCTCTCTATTTTTCCTAAATGGTCTTAAATCATTAGATGGGTTGTTATTAACATGCATAAGGTAAGTGAAACTCCACAACACTTTACTTCAAGGATAAACCTATCTGATGAGCAAGAGCTTGTTCTTTTCTCATGATGTATTTGCTCTTTCAGGAGAAGCACAAGCTCCAGTTTACTGTTCTGTACCCTCACATCCCCATGGAACTATCAAAAGTGTTTTATATGCCACTATAGAATTCTGATATGAGGTGTAGTGCATGTAAAGGGAAAAATTAGATATAATGTTGTTTAGGTCATTTGAATGTGTAGTAGTTATTTTTCTTCAGACAGACAGCACAGGGGACAGTGTTGTGGCATATCCTATCCTGATATATTAGGACAGTGATCCGGCTTTCTTTTGCTTGTTGTTCATATTCAGAGAAAATCTCATCTCAGTGTCCAGTGAAAATAGGAGGTGCTGGGTAGGGCAGGCAATTCTGACCAGGCCCCTGGGCAGCACAGGTTTCACCCTACTATTCTGATCCAGGTCTCCTTCCCCTCCTGTATATCTTTTCCCCCTTCCTCCTCCTCTCCCCATAACAAAACTGCGGAAGTTCAAATCAGTGGTTCTTAACCTTTGTTACTCAGGTGTTTTTGAACTGCAACTCCCAGAAACCCCAGCCAGCAGAGCTGATGGTGAAGGCTTCTGGGAGTTGCAGTCCAAAAACATCTAAGTAACAAAGGTTAAGAACCAGTGGCTCAAATGACACAAATAACCGTAAATCTACTTTGGTTGTATAATAGTCTGAACAGTTGAATCAGATGAGTAATGGTAAAAGAACCCTTTGTCTTTTTTCCTGAGTGTACTTTTTACTGTTAATGATTTATTTAATGACTTGTCTTGTTTTCTCCCAGTAGAAGAACCGCGGATGACTCTCAGAATGGCTAAATATTCCCCCTTCCCTTCTGAACATTTCATTTTATTCTCTCTGTCATTCATTACTGGTGTATCACTCTCAACAGGGAAAGTCCAGTGGTGAAAGGGAATTGTCTCCTCGCCTTAACAGGCCTTGCTGTTACTGTTGCAAAACATGAGAAAGGTCTTTCTTCAGATACTGAAGAACAGTTTGATGTGAGTTAAAATAACTTAGGTACTTCTGTCCTGATAGTCAGCAAGCATTTCTGAATATGAAGTGTCTTGTACCCTGTCTCTGGTTAGGAATGCAATAACTTATTCCAGATACAAACTGATTTGTCTGAAATTCCATTGGAAGACAGATAGTTGTCATTCCCAGAAACAAAACCTGACAGGATGATGAGTAAAATTTATGTTTTGTTATTTAAGATGGCAGTCCAAAACTCTATTTCCATGGAAGGAAGTCCCATTGACATCAGTGTTTCTGCATAAATATGTTTAGGCTTGTGCCATACATTTTTTAAAACAAAACATTTGAAGCTACACCTTCTTGTAACCTCAAAGTATTCATTTACCTATCTTCCACATGTATGTAGATGCTTGGAGTGGTCTTTAAAAAAAATCTTACATAAAAAAATATTTTTAATAATAATCTATATTACAGTTACCGTATTTTTGCACCATAAGACGCACTTTTTCCCCACAAAACAGGGGGGTGGAAAGTCTGTGCGTCTTATGGAGCGAAGAAATCAGATTATATTTTCCTGTTTTCTTCTCCTAAAAAATTGGTGTGTCTTATGGAAAGGTGCGTCTTATGGAGCGAAAAATACGGTAGTCAATTATTCCCTTTAAAATAGTGGAACATTTCTTGGGACCTATTCAGATCTCTGTTCTTTGGTACATCAGGTCTGGATGCTAAACCCAGAAAAGGACAAATACTTAGCTGAGTTTGGACCAATAGGTAATTATGTGCCATTTGTTGTTGCCTTCAGACTGAGCCAGATTTTCTTCTGACAAAGCACTGGATTTTGATGGTGATAGATACGCTTCTTAGCATTATAGACAGCCACTACCATCCCAAGGGCCGTGTCTTCCCATGGTTTTATCAGGTAGGTCCAAGCAGATTCTAAAGGGAAATGTTTGAATGAATAATTCTTGTACTTTGTTGCAGCAGGGACAGAAATAAATTTGATTCTTGTAGTTTTCCTATGGGTATTTCCATCTGCAGCCTGGGAACAATATGAGTTGTCCCAAACAAAAGGGAGTGAAAAGAACCAACAGTGTATTGCTGTAGTATTGTGTGAAAGTGTCAGGTCATAGGCAAAGATAATGGGAGTTGAGATGAGGCATGAGCAGTGGGTCAGATGAGGAGGTTAGTCAGAGGTGCTTATTACAAGTTGGGGATACATCTCTGCGTATGGCACATATAAACACACTCAGGTAAGTTCCATGTCTCTGTCTCTAACACTGATTCTGTGTTGTGGGTGACACCATCCCATTGCGAGATATTGTAGAGCAAGGATAGGGCAATTCACAAGCTGGCAATGTTGTGGCATAGAGAAAATAATCCTTATTAGTACAGCGTTGGCAATGAAGAGCTGGAAATGGGGTGATTGGTTCTGTTGATTCAAGCCTCAGAATCAGAAACATGCATATCAGAGAAGGAGAACATTTGGCCTTCTAGATGTTCTGAACTGATTTTCCTCAGTCTTTTAGCATTGGCCATGCCAAGTGGGGCTGGGGGAGTTGTCTGAAGTTTGTGTGTATATGACTGTGTGTTGAGATTCCTCAGCCTTGCCTTGATTAACCCTCACACACTTCAGTGAACTTCTAAGTCCTATATTAGAGGCAGGACATTGTTTCAATATTTTACCTATGGCCCCATCTCTGCTATCCTCCTGCAAACAAAGACATTTCTCTCAGGCTTTTCTTTAAATAGCTGGTTGGCCAAGGGGAATTTTAAAAGAAGCATTTTAATCTGTGTTTTACTGGTGTTGTTAATATTGTTCTTATCATGAGTTAATATCATAGTTGTTAAATGCTTTTTCAATATTGTAATAATTTATTATTTTATTTTTAACTTTATTTCTTTTCAATGCTGTCATCCACCTTGGATCCATCAGGAGAAAAGCACTATATAAATAAATTAAACAAACAGCTTCAAGTTGGTTCTCTCAGAAAAACGTTGCAAAGTTTTAAACTTAGTGCAGGAAGAATATTTTAATGTAACTTCAGAAATGAATGGCTAAATGCATTTTTGTCCCTTGGCTTCCTGAGTTCTGATTTGTGGAGGGAGTGGACAGCAAGTACAGTGGTGCCTCGCACAACGAGCGCCTCGTAGAGCGATGAATTCGCTCTACGAGGACGCTTTTGCGATCGCTAATGCGATCGCACAGCGATGGCCCCAGTGGGCGAAAATTGCAGAGCGAAGGTCGGTAAGCGGTTCGCTTACCGACCTTCACTTTGCGACCCGCCGATCAGCTGTTCCGCGGCTTCAAAATGGCTGCCGGAACAGCCGAAAGGGGCCGGGGCGCAGCGTTTTCGCGCCCTTTGTAACCATTTCGGGGCTTCCGGCAGCGTTTTCGCGCCCTCCCCTTGCTTACTAAGGGCGCGAAAAAGCTGCGCCCTGGCCCCTTTCGGCTGTTCCGGTGGCCATTTTGGAACCGCCTTCCCCCACACTTTCCCTCTTCCTCCTCCTCCCTCTTCTGCCGCCGCCGGGGAGGAACGCAGGCAGGCAGGCAAGCAGATGGAGGAAAGGAAGTGGCGCACGCTTGTGCGTCTGCCCCCCTTTCCCTCTTCGTCCTCCTCCCCCCACACCTTCCCTCTTCCTCCTCCTCCTCTTGCCCTTGGGCGATCAGCTGTTGCCGGACACCCGAAATGGCCGCACGCAGCGTTTTCGCGCCCTCCCCTCGCTTACCGAGGGCGTGAAAATGGCTGCCGGACCCCGGAAGCATCGCTGAACGGTGAGTTTTCAGCCGATTTGGAACATCGTTTAATGCGTTCCAATGGGCTTTTCTGCCCCGCTCAGCGATGTTTCACACAGCGAGGCACCACTGTATTTAGAATGTATACTTACAGAACTGACTAGGGATGCTGAAGTAGTATTGCCTTTTTTCCTCTTCTGGGGAGTAGTTGCCTGTCTCCATCTCTGCTCACCTGATCTCACTCATACATACACTCCTCACCTTTTCTATTGCTTTTTTATAATTAATTTTTTATTTTGTAATACAAAAACACACACCAAAAAAAAAAAATACATAACGACAAAAATACAGAAAAAATACAAATAATAGTGCTTATTATAAACTAAATTCTAACATGTACCCCATACCCACAGGACTCCATTTAATAATATTTTATTACAGATTACCTCTCCAAAATTGTATTGAGTATTCTTTAGAGGCTTTCCCCCTTCCTTTCACTAACACAAATTCCACAAATTTACCCCAAATATCATAAAAATTGTTAGAACTTATTTC